ATTCTGCTCTGCTGAGGACCCAGCACTGCTTTGAGTGAGCTGCTGTGCCCTCTGCTTCCTCCTCTGCAGTCAGGGAGGTGGGGCAGGCTGTATGTTCACCAGTGTCCCCCTGTTCCCTTCTGGTAACAATGACAACACTCTGGTTTTGTGCTGGGGACTTCCTCCCCACTCTCTGTGAGATTCTGCAAGGCCAACTCTCCTCCCTTTCCAGGGCTGGCCTAGGCCTGGCTGCCAGTGACCCACTTGCCCCTGACCACAACAAGTGGGTCAGAGATGAGCATATGACACTAGCAGGATCAGCCAGCAGCTGGCCAGGACCCCTGTTGGGCCCATCAGCACCAAGCAGTGCAGCCGGGAGCTGCTGAGACAGCCCCATATAGAGGGAAGTAAGACCAAGAAGCTGAGGAGCAGGGTCCCCCCAGCAGCAGAGGCCCTGGCTTCCTCTCTCTCTGTGTGACCTCTGCGCATAATGATTCCCCTTCACCTCCACCAAAAGTGGAAGCATTCTGAGCCCTCACCAGGAACAGATGCTGGCACCATGCTTCCTGTACAACCTGCAGAACTGTGAGCCAAATACACCTCTTTTCTCTCTTTCTCCTTCTTTTTCTTTCATTCTCTCTTTTTCTTTCTCTCTCTTTTGTTCTCTTTCTTTCTTTCTCTCCTTCCTTCTTTCCTTCCCCGCCCCCTTCTTTCAAGAGTCTCACTGTATCACCCAGGCTGGAGTGCAGTGGCAGGATCTTGGCTCACTGCAACCTCCACCTGCCAGGTTCAAGCCTTTCTCCTGCCTCAGCCTCCCAAGTAGCTGGGACTACAGGTGAGCACTACCACACCTGGCTAGTTTTTGTATTTTAGTAGAGACAGGGTTTCACTACTTTGGCCAGGCTGGTCTGGAACTCCTGACCTTGTGATCCACCCGCCTCAGCCTCTCAAAGTGCTGGGATTGCAGGCATGAGCCACCGCGCCCAGACTTCTTTATCATTTACCCAGTCTCAGGTATTCCTTTATAGCAATGCAAATAGACTAAGGCAGCATTTTCTCCCTGTGGCCTCACATGGTGGGAGGGATGAAGGGTTCTCTGCTGCCTCCTTTATAAGAGCATAAATCCACTCAGGAGGGCTCTACCGTGTGACCTCGTGACCTCCCAAAGGCTCTACCTTCTAATACAATCACCTTGGGAGTTAGGATTTCAACATGTGAGTTTCAAGGGGACACAAATATTCAGACTATTGCACCTTCAAAGGAATAAAATTCTAGTTGGTATCAAACATCTCATAGCAAAACCGGATGCCAGATGACAGCGGAGCAGTACCTTCAAGTTCTGAGCAGAAATCATTTTGAATCTAGAATTCCATAACTATCAATAAAGTATGACTGCAAATTAAAGATGTTTTTAGACATGGACAGTCTCAGAAAGGTTATCTTCCAAGCACTTTTACTGAAAAAAGTTACTTGATGATATACTGCAAATAAAGTAAGAAAGAAACCCAATCATAATCATAATCAATTATAACCATAAAAACAATGGTATTAAGAAAAGAAATCTGAGGGTGACTTTTCAAAAGGTTTAGAAAACACCAGTCCAAATTAGAAAAGAAATGTGATTTGCATCTTGAAATATGACAGAGACTGAATAGCTGCAATGCTGATGCACGCTGGCCCAGCCCCAGCAGGGCACATGGACGCTGCCACAGAATAATTGAGGGGCCTTTAACGCAGGAGAGATTTATAGACACATGGGCAGGGTTAGGAGTTAAGGCACCTCTAGGAGAGGCTGCCTGATGAAGCCATGGCCATAGGTAGAGGGACACAGCCAGTAATGGTGACACATGGGGAGCCAGCCAGGGGAGTACACTGAACCACATTCCTCCCATACTCCAGTAGTTTGGCAATGCCTCCCACAGGCCAAACTCATTCAGACATCAAAGGCACATATTCAGTCTATGCAGCCATGCCTCTGGGGGCACAGACACTATTTGGCATGCAAGGTGGGGCCATATGCTTCTTGTACAGACACAAAAGACATGGGCATATTTTTATTTATTTATTATTTTTTTGATTTTTTGAGATAGGGTCTTGCTCTGTCACCCAGGCTAGAGCGTGGTGTTGCAATCTCAGCTCACTGCAGCCTCTACCTCCTGGGCTCAAGCAATTTTCCCACTTCAGCCTCCCAAGTAGCTGGGACTACAGGCACACACCACCATGCCTGGCTAATTTTTGTATTTTTGTAGAGACGGGTGAAACAGCCGTGTTGCCTAGGCTAGTCTGGAACTCCTGGACTCAAGCAATCTGCCCGCCTTGACCTCCCAAAGTGCTGGGATTACAGGCGTGAGTCACTGTGCCCATCCCAGGAACATTATTTAGAATAACAACACACAGAAGTGGTAGGTGGCACTGGTGCTGGGTAGAAGTTTACTTTTCATTTCATGCCTTTCTGTAGTGCTTGAACTTTAAAAACATGTGCAGGTGTTATTTTTAAAAGAATTGCTCAAATGAATTGCCTGAACACCAGTTTTGGAGGCTTGAAATTGGATTAACGGGGATAGAGAACCCCATGGCTTTCGTCCTACTGACAAGGTGGCCACTGTTTCCTGCGCTTCTAGTCTTGTCTTTCCCGGGCTTGGCACAGCCTTCCATGAGAGTGACACCCACGCCCACTCCCCAGAACTAACCTGCCCTGCTCTGTGCTCTCTCCCGGCTCCTCAGTGCCGCTCCTTGCTGCTCTCAGTGCGTCTCCCCAGGGTGGGACCCATAGCCCCCTTCACACTTGTCCTTATCACCTGCATCACTGTCATCCTGCTGGGTCCCCTACTCTGCACTGGGATCTCAGGAGGCCCTGACCACAGGAGCAGCATCTCATGTCCACAGCAACGCTTGGCACTGGCAGGACAGCTGTCCAGGAGCCGTGAATACATATTGGAAGGAATGGTAACAGCTTCTACTGAATCTCTGTACTTTCCAATGCCTTTTTCCATCTCTTACTTTGGTTATAGTCAAACAACCTTTTGAGGTAAGTAGGTTAGGAGTCTGAGCACCCATTTTACAGAGGAGGAAACTGAGGCTCTGAGAGACAAACTGATTTGCCCAAGGCCACTCAGGAGTAAGGGACTCTGCAGAAGAACCAGAGTCCAGGCTGCCATGCACATACAGCCCCACTGGGCTGGGGTCCAGGCTGCCTGCCTGTCTGGAAATCTATCTGGCGTCAGAGAGACCATGGTCCATGGCAGAGACAGGGATGAGGGGAAGCCAAGGAGCCCTCTGACCCCAGAACCACACTGGTGTGTCCATGGACCAGGGGAAGCTGGAGCTCTCACCCAACCTCAGCCCCTGCTGCTCCTGGATCCTCCAGGCCGGGGGTGTCCCTGGGGCTTTGCCAGTGCTCAGAGCCAGGGTCAGGCTCTCAAGACTCAGCCCTTTTCTGTGTCTTCTTGGACTGTCAGGTCCCCAGGTCCCTGGGCTGATATTCCTCAGAGCTAGGTGTGCTCAGGGCTGGGGGGCTAGGGGTGGGGATGACACTGGTCATGAGAGAGGAGTGGGCCCTCATCTGAGTTGCCTGGTGTCAGAACAGACCTGACCTCTTGTCTACACAGCACCAGGGGCCTTCTTGGTGGGGAAAGGGTCTGGCCCAGCCTGAGCAACCTCCTGCAGTATGTTTTTTCTGGCCCCTGCACACCCTCAGCCCTTCTGCCGGCCTATTCCCTAGCCCCCAGCTCCATACCACTTCCCAAGCCCAGAATGGATAAGGTCTCTTCAGCACCCCAGCCCTCAGAGGAAGAGCTGGTCAGAAGGTAGGGGACTCTGGTCAGAGACCCTTGAAGCAGGGCTGGAGACATGTGAGCTGAGAGTAGGGGGAATTGTTGCTTCCCACTTGGGAAAGGTGAGGAGAAGTCATTCACTGTGGGAGGCCACAGGGCTTGATGGCCACAGTTGGCCCTTTGTGCACAGACCATTGAGCCACTAAATGGGGCCCTCAAAATGCTTCCTGGCAGAGAGCAGACTGGGCTCAGACCCCCGGGCAGGTGGGAGCTAGTGGGGAGGCTAGAGCTCTCAGGTATGTGTGTGGGACAGGGGATGAGGACAAGATTGGTGGCTACAGCGCTGTGGAAGAGAGTGCCCAACCTTGAAGAGCCTCTCCAAAGACCCCATAACCATTGGCAGTTTTACCCGGGCTGGAAGAAAATCTCATTTCCTCAACATGTTTCAGAATTGTGCTGGGAATACAGGAGTGAATAAAAAAATACAAATCCAGGTTCTTAAGGAGCTTGTCAGCTATCGGGAGACAAAGGAAAGAAACAAATCAATAAATAATATAAACATCAGGATCATGAAACAAAATAAACAGAGACCAGGAACTGTGGGCAGCAGATATGCTGTTTTAGATGGAGTGAACGAGGAAGGTGTCTGTGATAAGGTGGCATCTGAGCAGAGACCTGAAGATGCAATGGAGGAATCCATGCAGCTGTCTAGGGGGAAACAGGATATAATAGAAGAACGTCTCCCTCAACTGAAGAAAGACATGAGTTTCCAGATTAAAAGGATACACCAAACATAGAGTAGTAATAATAAAAAGAGAAGGAGTCTAGAGTCAGACATATCTTGGTAAAATGTGTGAAATGTGAAATTCAAGCATGGAGCAAAGATCACTCCAAAAAGGCACCAGGCCCAAATAGTTTTATAGGTAAGGTCATACAATATTTAACCAATGTAATTTATATATTTTCAAGGCCCTTGTCTATACTTGATTATGTAGAAGGAAGGAAGGAATTGCTTTGGAGGAAAAGAAACTTAGAGGTTTTCACTGCTGTGAAGAGAAATCTTTTTTTTTGTCATCTGTTTTGAAGAGCACCACCGAGCTTTGTTCTCTCCTTCCTGCCATGGAATCTCAATGATAGATTCTCCCTGCTACACTGAGGGAGCTCTGCTTCTTAGATATGGTTTGGGGTAAATGCTGTATCTAGCTGTAAGGTATTAAAGATTGTGGTAAAAACTTGGGCTTTACTTACTCTAAGTGAGTTGGGAGCCACTGGAAGCTTCTGGGCCCAGAAGGGACCTGATCTGACTCAGGTTTTAACAGGATCATCTTGGCTGTTCTCCAATTTCTGGCCACTGGGGCCTCCTCCCTGTGTGCTGTAGCTGCTAAGGATGTGTCTTTGCTTCCAAGCTTCTTCTGACCTTTCGCTGCAGCTTTCACTAAGCGGATGGGAGGCACTAGGCTGAGAGTGTGTGAGGAGTGAAGACCAAGGGCGGACAGGGCAGATGGAGAAGTGCTGTGGCCATGCCCGATCCTGACCTGCACTGAGACAAAATGAGGAATAACTGAACTTTACAGGCCTCTATCTCTTCACTTACAAAAATGGGCAAATTCCACTGTTCTTCCCAGGCTAGCTAGGGCTGCTGTAATGCCAGAAGTGGTCATTCCAACTTCTGTGAACTAGAAAGCCTCTCACCATTCTCAACACAAATGTCCTTAAAGCCCTCTGGCTGAACCGTGGTTTGGCTCCTGGTGGTAGCAGCAGCTGAATCCCTGGCACTGACTTGGTGTACAGAGAATGTCCCCATATCCCCGGTTAAGCAAGCCCAGACCCACAGCATTCCAAAGAGCCTAGAAAGGGTCTGGTTAAAAATTCCTGCTCTAGCAATGTCTTCCAGAAGAAGCAGGAGACAATGCTCCCTACCTCCCAGTGCCAGGAGGGGAGAGGAAGGAAGCTGAGTAGGCGAGCTCTGCACAGGTGCCCTGGAGGTGTCTGCAAGATGACCTGGCTCTACCTCTCCACCTGCTCCTTCCAAGCTGTGGGACAGGGCAAGGCTGGTGCCCTCTCTGAATCGGTTTCTTCAACTGTAAAGTGATTGGCTGAGGATCCAGCTGGAGGGTGGATTAAAGGGCACAGCAGGGTGCCTAGCACCAACAACCCACGTGTTTCTCTTGGGCAAGCCGCTCTGAGCCTTACTCTGCCTATCTCTAAGCGGGAGCCCAAAAGCTAGCCAGGATTGATATGGACTAAAGCAGTCTGTGAACGCTTTTGTAGACTGTGAAGCACTATGTGGTCTTCAGAAAGGTGCCCCAGAGACAAGGTGTCATTGGCTTCAGGTGGGGGTCAGCAAACCCCCTCAGATAGTCCTAGAGGCCGGAGTGGCAGCGCAGAGCGAGCACACTTTCCAGAGGGTAGCTGATTGCCCTGCTGAAAAGACCAATACCGTATTTCTCCAAAAATACCTTTTCCTAGGCAAGTCGCCTACTTTATCTGGCACCCAGCAGGGAACATAGCTGCTTGTACCGCGCTGGATATGAAGGTGGGGTTGTGGGGCAGACCCGGCCAGACAGGCTCCCCAGCGCTTACCCCTCAATCACGCAGACTGCTCTACGGGGCTATCTCAGGGCTTTTCATAAGTCGTGGGGCCCGTCTCCCGTTCTCACCTGGGGACCAAGCTTCAGAAGCCGACCCTCGTGGACGCTGCGAGACCGTGGCGAGGGGTGGGAGGCAAAGAGGTGGCTGCGGGCCGAGGACCAGGCAGCTTGTTGGGGGGCTTGCGCGTCTCACAGCTCCGGGATCCCAGCGCCTACGCCGCGCAAGGCCGGGCGCAGCGGGGGCGGGCCAGGGCGGGGCCGAGGCGTTGGTGGGGGGGGCTTGTGACGCGCGGCGCCGGCCAATGGGGCGCGCGGCCGGGGCCGAGCCTCCTGCGAGCCTTCGCGGCGCCCGCGGCGTCACGTGAGCGGCGGGGAGTGAGCGCCCAGCGAGCTGCGGGCGGGCTAGTGCTCCGCCGCAGCGACCCGCGGGCCGGCGGGCTAGCGAGCCAGCGCAGGACCCGCGGCTCGGCCCCCGGCCGCCGCCGGACCGAGAGCCGAGCCGCCGCCCCCAGCCCAGCCCGCCCGGCCGCAGGACCGCCGGGGCCTGGCAGCGGGTCGGGCGTGCGCCAAGTTCAGGTGGGAGAGGCGCGGCGGGGCCGGCCGAGTGGACGCGGCCCCGGGTGATCAGGGGGCTGGCGGGCCTCGGGGCGCGTGGCCGTGCGCCCGCGCAGCTCTCGGAAGCACGGCGCGAGTGCCCGAGGAATATCGGAGGAGCGCGGTGGGCTCCCGCGGAGGGGGGTAGGGGTCGGACAAGCCCGGGGGAGGTGACCCCCCCCCACCCCGGTTGCCCACCAGCACTTTGCTGAGGCCCGCGCCGCCGCCTCGGTGCCTGGCCGGGCGGTTCCGTGGCGCGCCTTGCGGGCCTGCCCTCCCATATGGTGGGCACCAGCGCGGCCTGCTGAGAGGAGGGGGCGAGCGGACGCGCCGGCCGGTCCAGGGTTGGGGGCAGAGGGGCCGGAGAGGGAGGGGTTACTGTCGGTCACCGCAGCAGTGGTGGGGGCAAAGGGGGGCGCGGGACGAGGGCACGGTGCCCAGCGGGCAGCGGTCCAGGGCTCTAGGAGGGGTCTGGGCCGGCTGTTCATTTCCCACGCACGTTTGTCTACACGCGCGGACACCCACGGAGGCTCCACGCGCGAGCACTTCGCGGACAGCCTCCCGCACAGCCACAGCGGCCGCCGCGCACTACGCCCCGCACACGCAGTCACACGACAGGAACTCACACCCCTTCACGCACACCCGCACCGTTCACGCGTCTCACTCCACGCTGAGTCCCCGTCCCCTCAGACCGAACATTACCAAAGCCATGGCTTGGCTGAGGGATGGCCGCGGCAGGGCATAGAGGCTGTCCCCATCCCATATGGTGGCTCGGTTCACTCTTCCCTCCCCGCTGTGGTGATACTCATGGAACCCCTCCTCTTACGGAGGGTACAGAGGGGCTTTCTCCCACGGCCCTTGGAGGTGACAAAATCTCCCAATGTCTGTGTACCTCAAATCTCCCTTCCGCTGTCCCCCAGGGCCAGGTGGCCCCTGGGGAGACCCTGACGTCCTACAGGTGTGAGAAGGCCCGGACTCTGCGACTTTGGGGCCTGCGGGCGGCGCAGGGACCCGGGACTCTTATTTTGAAGGGCGGCCCCCGCCACCACCCCCGTGATTTGCACGCTGACCCAATGGCAAGCCCTTGGCCGGCGCTGGGCTTGTTATCAATTACATGTTGTTCCTGCAGCCGCTGTGTCCCCGGGAGGATAAACAGCAGGCCTGGCCCGGCCAGGGGAGGGGGCGGAGTCCGGCGGCCAGCCGGGGACTGTGCCCGGAACAGCGTGTCCCCTCCCCCTGCATGCAGTCTACGCCTCTGGCCTCCCCACGTGCTGCTGTTTTAGGGGTTGAGCCGGCTCCAGCCCTAGGGTGTACTCTCTTTGATGTCGGTGCCCTGAGCTATCCCAGAGCCCTTTCTGGGTTCTCAGTACCTGAGTGCGTCCCCCTTGAGATGCTCATCTCAGCATTAAGACCCTGTTGCCTGACCTGGGCCACCCACTGCTAGACTCCGCCCCCACCCCCACCCCCGGGGACCTTTCATTCACTCATTCAGCAAATTCTGCTGGGCCCTGTTTTAGACTCTGGGAGACAGCCTTGGAGTGAACAATCCCGACAGCTGATATTCTGGTGGTAAGGTAGACAGGAAGCAAAGTTCACAAACACATAACTAAGATAATTTCCCACAGTGGGACCTGCAGGGAAGAGTGTAATATAGGGTGATGCAATGGGGAGGCCAGGAGGCTCCCACAGGGGTGAATTCTGAGCCGAGATCTAACTAAGCAGCTCCTACCTGCAGTGCTGGGGGAAGAGCCAGGGCAGGGGCCCCGGCTGAGGCTGAAGTGAGGTGAGCACACCTGGACTAGGAGAGGGGCAGTTGGTGGTGAGGTCTGTGAAGAGTCCGGAGGGCCAAGTGCTGGGGTGCTGCCAGGAGATAGGGCCACCCATCCTTAGGAAGCCATTGGAGGGTGTTTCCTTCTAGCCCTTCTACTATACTTTTTAGATCACTTTATGTGTCAATAACTATGTCTTTAAAAGGTAAGGCCTCCTTTAACCACAATACCACATCACAATTAAAAATATTAACAGTAATTACTTAATATCATGGGATGGCCAGTTAGTGATTGTGTTTCAGGGGAGGGCTCTAAGGCCTGCTCTGGGTCCCATGAGGGCTGAAGGCCCCCTATTCCCTAACATCACAGTAGAGGGGCAGAGACAGCACACTTGCGGTACCTGCAGGCTGACACCATTGGCTGGCACTGGATGAGTGCTGCCAGTGTGCCAGACGTGGAGGGGGGTGCTTAGCAAGCGTCAGCTCATGGGGTTCTCACAACACCTGAGGAACCAGGCATTGTTGGAAGCACCCGTATCTCACAGACTGAGACAGGCATGGAAAGGCTGTGCACCTGCCCAAAGTCACCCGGAAGACAAGCTACAGACTCAGGAACGGAGCCCCTGCTTGGAGGGTGGGAAAGGGTTGGGGGAGGCCCAGGGTAGAGTGTGGGCTCTGCCCAGCCTTGTGACCTTCACAGCCTCTGGCACTTTCATTCCTTCCCAGCACCTGATTTTGTGAATAGGTGCATTTTAAAACACATTCCAGGTTTAAATCCTTAGCTAAGTAGTTAAACCAAAAAGCCAAATGTCCTAGTAAAACTGGCCTGGGGCACAGACCTTGCCTTAGTTTCCTGGAGTTCCATAAAGCTTCCTGGGCAAGTTGGGAACTGAGGTCAAAGGTCCTGGGGTCCCTGAGCAGGAAGAGACTTAGAGATCTTTGAAGCATGCAACAGAGCTGAGGTTTGGGAAGTGGAGCAACGACTTGCCCAAGGTCATAGCTGATTATGGTATTGGTCACTGGGCAGTGCTGGGTGCCAGGCCCTGAAGGGTCTGGGAAACAGAGGGGCTGGGTATAGAGGTGATGCTGGGCAGCAGAGAACCTCTGATTTTGGTGCAGAGCATTCCCCTTCCCCAACCTTGAAAAACACCCAGCCCGCCGTGGTCATTGAGCAGGGGCAAAGGTTCACAGAAGTGGCCTGGTCAGAGCTGGACACTATTGACTCTCCTTGGACACCAGAGCTAGCATGTCCTTTGACTTCAGAGGACATAGCTTTCCCTTCTCTTCTCTATCAAAGTTCTCTTGAGCCCTTCCTGGGCACTAGGGGCCAGGCCAGGCACTGGGAACGCAGCAGAGACATGGAGTGCACTGTCTCAGGGGGAGACAGGCATTAGCTGAGCCTTCCCAAGGTGGTGAGTGTCCCAAATGGAGACAGCAGTGGCAGAGGGTGCAGGAGACTCCACTTCCTTATTGGCCAGAAAGGGCTGGGTGAAGGGGGCGGCAGTTATCTCCTCTCCTACTAGACGGGTGTGAAGTCCAAAGCAGTTATGCACCTGCAGATGCTAGGAGCCCCTGGTGGTCGGCTAGATTATCACCAGAGGGGCAGGGTCTTGGCCACTAGGGTGCTAAAGCATCAGGGTGCAGTGAGAGAGTTGCATTCAAGCTTGTGCCACTCACAGGGCAGTTGGCTCAGTGGGGTTTGAGGACTGGAGAGTAGAGGAGCTTTTCCCCTTCAGGTGGGGAAACAGCGCCATGTGGGCAGGGGCTTCTTGGTCTTTGACTGTTTTGCCTCCGTTGTACACTTGCCCAGTTAAAATGCAGGCAGCCTAGTTAAATTTGAACCTCAGGTGAAATAGTTTTTAAATGTAAGTATGTCCTATCCAATGTTGGGAACATACTTATATTAAAAGTAGTTTATTTTTTAAATCTGAAATTCAAGTTTAACTGGCGACTTGTATTTTTATTTGCGTAATCTGGCCTCTGGAAGCCCCAGCAACATGAGGGTCAGAGGGCAAATGGTTGTTCTACCCCCCATTCTGTGACTCAACAGGCGTGAAGCTGAGGTCAGGAGTCCTCAGATGCACAGTGACGCCTATGGTGTTGGCGGCGAACTGATTCTGGGCCTTGGCCCTCCTGGGGTCCAGAGAGCCCCCTTGTGCATACCCTTCTCTCATACTCACCCACACTCAGTTGTTCGCAGACACATGTGCTATTTTCCAGGATAATTCTGGAAAATCTGAAACCAGAAGTGCCCCTGGTTATGCAATGGGATTGGAGAGGTCTCTTTTGCAAACAGGTGGTGCAATTTCAGAAAACACTCTTGCAGGCACAGCTCTCCCGGGGGATGGAGGCAGGATCCAGGCTTTTGGCAGTGGGAGGCTGTGGGCAGGCAGCCGAGGGTGGGGTCGGAGGCCTGTGAGGTGGCAGGTGAGCACTGTCCTGACTAGGCCTCCCATGTTCCTTCCTTGTAGCCGGCACCGGCACGGCCAGGCCAGCATGGTGGACCACTTGCTTCCAGTGGACGAGAACTTCTCGTCGCCAAAATGCCCAGTTGGTTATCTGAGTGATAGGCTGGTCAGCCAGCAGGCATATCACATGCTGCCCTCACCCCTCTCTGAAGACGACAGTGATGCCTCCAGCCCCTGCTCCTGTGCCAGTCCCGACTCTCAAGCCCTCTGCTCCTGCTATGGTGGAGGCCCGGGCACCAAGAGCCAGGACAGCATCTTGGACTTCCTACTGTCCCAGGCCACGCTGGGCAGTGGCGGGGGCAGCGGTGCCAGCAGTGGCCCCATGGCCTGGGGGCCCTGGCGAAGGGCAGCGGCCCCTGTGAAGGGGGAGCATTTCTGCTTCCCCGAGTTTCCTTTGGGTGACCCTGATGACGTCCCAAGGCCCTTCCAGCCTACCCTGGAGGAGATTGAAGAGTTTCTGGAGGAGAACATGGAGCTGGGAGTCAAAGAGGCCCCAGAAGGCAACAGCAAGGACTTGGATGCCTGCAGCCAGCTCTCCGCTGGGCCACACAGGAGCCACCTCCATCCTGGGTCCAGCGGGAGAGAGCGCTGTTCCCCTCCACCAGGTGGTGCCAGTACAGGAGGTGCCCAGGGCCCAGGTATTGGCCCCACACCTGATGGCCCCATCCCAGTGCTGCTGCAGATCCAGCCTGTGCCTGTGAAGCAGGAATCGGGCATGGGGCCGGCTTCCCCTGGGCAAGCCCCGGAGAATGTCAAGGTTGCCCAGCTCCTGGTCAACATCCAGGGGCAGACCTTCGCACTTGTGCCTCAGGTGGTGCCCTCCTCCAACTTGAACCTGCCCTCCAAGTTTGTGCGCATTGCCCCTGTGCCCATTGCTGCCAAGCCTGTCGGGTCAGGACCCCTGGGGCCTGGCCCTGCTGGTCTCCTTGTGGGCCAGAAGTTCCCCAAGAACCCAGCCGCAGAACTCATCAAAATGCACAAATGTACTTTCCCTGGCTGCAGCAAGATGTACACCAAAAGCAGCCACCTCAAGGCCCACCTGCGCCGGCACACGGGCGAGAAGCCCTTCGCCTGCACCTGGCCGGGCTGCGGCTGGAGGTCAGTATGGCGGGTGACAGGCCTGGGCGGTGAGCATGGCCACTTATGTCTGCACGCTTGAGTGTGCAGCAGGGCCATTTTCCACCATGAGGAGGTGGATGAGAAAGGGGAGGGGTGGGTGGGTGCAGGCCCAGAGCTGGCACAGTTGCCTGGAGGCTTCCTTGGTCCTTCTGGTTCCTGAAGCCAGAAGCCAGCTGATCTCCAGTTTCTTGATGGCCAGGAATGGCTTCCCTGGCCTGTGCTCCCTGCTTGGTCTCCCCATCCAGTCTGATAAGGACAGGGATTGAGGGGCTGGTGAGGAAGGGTGAGTGCAGGCTAGGGACCAGGCAGCAGCTCCCTTTGGGCCCATAGCTCCGCAGGGTAAGTATCACTGTCACTCCCAACTTGTATCACAGGACACCAGGGCTCTGACCAAGGTGTCCCTCTGCTTTGTAATGGGATTTGAACCCACGGGTCGGATTTGAGAGATAACATTCTGAAAATGCTGCTTCCCCAACCAGTGGGACTAGCTTTGTTCACAGGTGTCTCTGGACATGTCGGCTGGGCTTGGCCTGGGCTTCCTCCCTGGGGACATGGAGGCACGTTTGGGAGGCTGCAAAGAACAACCAAGAGGGAGGCTAGGCTGGCTGGTGGTGCTGTCACAGGTGGCAGAACCCAGGCTCTCTGGTCTTCATGGCATAGTGGGGAAACCAGCCCTCAAATGGTAACTGGTAGCGGCCCGACCAGGGTTACCCAGCACCCTTCCCTGAGACCAGGTGCTGTTCACCCTCCTTGGGAGGGGGTGTCCACCTTTTCCTGAAATGTAGGCTGCTTGCCAAGAGCTCATGTGCTCTGGGGTGCCAGAGCCAGCCCTCCCCAGTTCAGGATGCCTATCCCAAAGGAATCTCTGGCCTGCCTGGGGGGTGCCATGTGCTGCTGGCACATTCCCCATCTTTGCTGCTGTGGCTGCTGCTACATGTGTAAGGTGGGACATGCTCATCTGTATACCTGGGGGTGTATACAGGCCTACGCCTCGCCAGCAGGTGTGTAGCTGTGTGTGCACGCCCACATGTGTATGCATCTTGCTTTCTTTGTATCTGTGTCATATGAGCATATGTGTTTGGAGGCTTCCTTGGTCCTCCTGGTTCCCGAGCTCATGTTCCTGACCACATGTCTTAGGTGTTTTTGTTCCATGTGTGACTGCCTGTGTGCGCGTGTGCATGTGTTATGTGTGGGCGCAGCACCCTGGGAGCAGTTTGCAGCTTTTGTTTTCTTGACCATACTCTGGTTCTGAGAGCTACTAACAGTTGTCTGGGGCAGAGGTCCTGGCCAGTGAGGCTGAGCCATGGATGGGGAGCTGTGAGTGGAATGTGTGTTGTGGCACTGGTGGCGTCTTTCCATTGAGTGCCAATCTGGCCAGAGAAGGGACTTTTCCTGAATGGTGTCTAGGGTTATGGAGGCCCTTCCTGAGCGAGGACATCACTCTCTGTCCTGTCTCCCACTTCATTCAGACAGACCGCAGAAGCTTCTATGAGAGCCCGCCCTGGGTCCTCACAAGGTCTCCATCCTGGTGTCCCTACCTCCCTGAGCTCATGCCCAGGCCTGCCGAGTGGGCACAGGGCTGACAGGCTGCCTGTGAGAGGAGGACATAGTAGTGGGCACTGTGTGGGAGGTCAGAGAATCTGAGAGAAGGACCAGGAGTGCTCTTGGTTAAAGCAGAAAGCACCCTAACACCTTTCACAGAGAAGGCAGGGGCTCAGGTGTGTGAGGGGCGGTGGTCTTGAGCCTGAGCCTGGGTCAGGCACCAACACTATGTGCCCTGGGGGGGGTTCCCCCTCCAAACATCAGTGGACTGCCAAGTGGAGAGCTGGCCCTTCACAGTCCAGGGCAGGTATGCAGGGCTCTCCAGCGGCCTCCTTGCTGTTTGTATCACAAGAATACAAACTCATACAAGGCAGTTTCTGAGGAGGGACCATGAAGGCATTCTCTCCGGCCCCCCTGAGGCCGGTGCCTATCGTGGAGTTGCCCCCTACTCACAGGGACCCTGCATGCTCTCTCCTCTTGGTGGGGGCGTGCAGGGTTGCAGAGAGGCTGGGCAGCCTCCCTCTGAGCACCATTCTGGACTCCCTAGGTGGGCTCAGCTGTCAGTGCCGTCTCCTGGCCATGATTGACAATTGCCAAGTGGCTCCTCTAGTCACTGTGAGGTTGGGTAGGGTGTTGAGGAGGGCAGGTGTGATCTTCATCCAAGGCCCGCCTTCTTCCCGGATGTCTTAGAGCCGGAGAGCTGATAGGCCCCTCAGCCCAGGGTGTATCTCAGTGAGACGGGTCTTAGTTCTCCATACAGTGGCCTCAGGAGGTAGTGAGTTCCTCATGGCAGGGGGCATACATGAGAGAATGGGGACCTGTGGGGGGATTCAGCTCTGACATATCTGAGCCCTGGTACTGGTCATGCTGCCCAGGATCTACTTGGCAGGAAAAGGTGTGGTGGTTGCCTGGCGCAGTGAGATCACAGTGGCACTGCCCCCAGGAGCTGTCCCTGCCATCAGCCATGCCCTGGGCTTCTTGAGGGCTCCTCCAGCTTTCCCCAACGTCCCCTGGAGTGGGTCTGGCTCTCTTGGAGCAATTCATGGCAGAGGTGCTGTTCAGCTGGGAGCTGAGGGCACCTGCCTCTAGGGAGAGCTGCTTTTCTGAGGATGTGGGGAGTCCTCATTTGGCTTTCAGGGATCCTGAACCCCTGGTGACGTACCCAGGATCCTTGTGTCACTTAATGTGGCGATAGTCTTCAACTGAGCGTCAGGTGGAAGGAGCCCCTGCAGCTCATTGCAGCAGTCAAGAGGGAGGATGGACCCGTTTTGGGGCAGCTGGGTCTGGAAAACACTGGGGAAGTAACGATGATGATGGTGATAATTTATATATCATACTTACTGACTACTCACTGTATGCAGTATTCTAAGTGTCTCACAGCTGGAATCCCCTCTACCCACTAGCCTAACTTGCATACTTCCTGCCATGCAGAACTCATTACCTTCTGAGACCTTTAAGTGTACTTTGCTATGCTTCAGTTTCTATTCAAGCTTCTCATTCTGGCCTGTAGGCCCACACAATCTGCTTGCCTGTCTCTTCCCCTTATTGAGTGGGATCTAGCCATGCTGGCGTCCCCTCTGTGGCTCAGACTCCTGCGTGGGCATCAGCTCTCTCTGTGCCCTCTGTCTCAAATGATCTCTGCCCTTGAGGCTGTAGTGACAGCTTAATGTTTTCACATTAGTTCTTCAAGTCCTTGGCAACTTCCCAGTAAAGTGTAGGCACCAATCTTCATTTCACATGGGGGAAACTGAGGCACAGACTGCTCACATCACATGCCCACAGGAACATAGCTAGTGAGCATGGATCTGGGTTGCATATGTGAGCCTGAGCACAGCCCTGCTACGGCCTCCCGGCGCTCCCAGCTGGTGTCAGAGTTGCCATGTGTGCCTCCTCCCTGCTACCAGGAGGTCAGCCCAAAAGGCATTATGCTTCTGGGCTATGGGAAAAGAGCTAATGTCCACAACTGAGATAATCAGGGCCTCTAATGCATAGACAGTGCTCTGAGCAAAATTCATGCATGTTAATTTATGTAATTCTCAAAATTAGTAGACGTCAGCATGTTATCTGTATTTTGCAGAGGAGAGAATTAAAGCACAGAACAGTTAGGTAAATTCTCCACAGTCAGACAGCCAAGAAGCCACAGAGCCAGGCGTTCAATCAAGACTGTCTGCCCAGACTCAGGGACCTCTCTCTGCATCCCTGTGCAGGGTGCTGGTTCTGGTGTTGGGAACCTCCACCTCCACTTGCAACTCAGCCTGGTGTTTGGGGTGGCAGCTCTGTACCCTCACCTACTCCCCATGTGGGAGCTCTCCACTCTCAGGCCTCGTCTCTTCTTCCTGGTGGCCCTGATGAATGGGATGCTCTTCCTACCCCAAGGCTGGGTCTGGCCTGGTACTGTGTCCTGTACTTGGAGAACAAGCCAGGGCCCCTCAGCCCCCTCTCCCCTTTGTGTAACAGATGGTGCCCCCTCTCCTCTTCTGAGGTTCACACCTGCCCAGGTACTCAGCCTCCACTTCCTTCTGCTTTTGGTCCTGAAAGTATTCCCTCTCCCTTCTCTGGTGACGTGATTTCAGCACCCTCGACAGGGCTGAGAGCAGGCTTTCCTGGTTCTGATCCAGCCGTCTGGGAAGTGCTGCTTGCCTGCCTTCCTAGAAGTTTCCTTGCCTCACTCTCAGACACAGGCATCCTTTGTTCCTTGCAGCAGAACGTCCTGTTCTAGAATGGCCAAGCCTTTCCATCCAGAAAGAATGCCTTCTGCCGCAGTGAATATAAATATGACTAACTGTCAGCAGCCTGCAGGGTGGGTACCTTTGTTGTCCACAGTGGATGTGGTGGGGGACAGAGAAAGGGAGTTGCAGGCTTCTCCTGAGCCTCAGTGCTAAGAGGTGGTAGGGACAGGATTCAAACCTCTGGGTCTGGCTCCCAGCCTGCTCTTGTGACCCCTGTGAGATAAGGCTTTTTGTTACCTCCTTCTCTCTGTAGGCAGAGGCCCCTGGTATGGTTGGGCAGGTTGTGAACTGCACAACTCTAGGGAGCACCATTCCCATTGCAGTCTCTGAGACTGGACCATTTGCGGTGATGTCTTTCTGGCAAACGAGGGTTAGTGTCTTAAGGAAGGGATGCCTTCACACAGAGGTGCTGTATGTACCAGCCCTGACATGATAGCTGCTCTGGAGAGACACTGGACCCCTGTGTACTCGCTGCCGTACAGCTCAGCAGCACAAAGCATGGTGCTGCCCTGGCTGCCGCAGGACCTCAGCAGGAACCGGGCCTTACACTCAACTCCATGCAGATGATTGGAGCTCATGATTCTTGAATAATTGCCACGTGCTAAGCAGGGCTGTAAACTGTTACTGGTTGCCTTGTACAATCCTCACAGTCCTCAGGAATAGGTCCTTTGTGGTCCCTGTGTCCAGGTGGAGAAACTGAGGCTTAGGGAGCTTGGCGACTTTCCTAGTTGCCTGGTTGCTAAGTGGCAGAGCTTAGTGCCTACAAGGGCTGCATTTCCTCACCGGGTTCCCATGTCCACCACTGTGGTCCCCAGGGCTCTCTGTTGGCTGGTGTTTGGGAGAATGTGCCATGCGGGGGTGAGGCAGGGGTCTTCTGAGGGCTCGGTTCCCAGGGAGGGTCCTCTTAGGTGCCAGGACCTTTTGGCAGCAGGGAGGGAGTTCAGGTGAGGACATGTTGTCCAGCTTGGTTCTACCTCAGCTGCCTGTCTTTCCCAGGGTGTCATCATGCCCAAGGAGCTGCTGTGGCCCTGCGTTACCACCTATGGCCTCTGAGATGAATCTTGGAAGGTGGGCAGGAATGCCAAAGTTTTCATTGGATGATTGAGGAAATTGAGGCCCAGAATGGACCATTCAGGGAACCCAGTGGGATGGGAACTGTCAAGGCAGGAACCTGTCCCCTGGGCTGTGTGACTTGGCCTCTTTAAACCCTTGCCATGGTCTTGCCAGTCCAATGAGGCTGGCTCATCCTTGCTCCCTGGCCAGCAAGATGCTGGGTGACCCCAGGACTGCAGCTTGGGAGGTGTGGCACTCCATGTCTGCAGCTTTCTGCCTGCCCCTGCCCTGGGCCAGCTCCTCTGCTCAGAAGCTGTGTGCCCAACTGCAGCTGGTGGCAGGTGTTGGCTTTGGCTGCCAGGGCACATTTGTTCCATTTCCTCAAAGGGCCCTGTGACACATACCACCCAGGCAGGCACTGTGGAGGAGTCCAGGTCATCTGCCATCACCAGGGCAAGGGACTGTGTTAAGACCTTTGCTCCAGCCTGAGGGGCTCTGTCTTGTCAGTGACCCTGGATCAGGCCCTCAGCACCCCGAGCTTCAGTTTCTTCCTCTGGCAGGCAGGGCAGTTGGGCTGCACCTAGTCTGGAGATGTGCCGAGAGCGCTGCCCTGTGCCTGGTGCCACCACCGCTCTGTGATGTGGGCTGGAGTACCTGTCTCCTTCTGCAGGCCTTCCTGCCACCCACTGTGCCTTGTCCAGAGCATGTTCTGCTGGGTCCTTCTCCTCAACCCACAGGGTCAGGGCACAGGGGCATCACCAGCCCTTTTCAATCGCTGGTTGGGGACTGCTGTTCTGGGCACCGCCTCTTGCTGGGTAGCCATGAAAAGGTGTTGGGCCTGGTGTCCCTGTGTGTGCGCGTATGTGTGGGCACATATTTGTTCGTGTGTGTGTGTGTGTACATATGTGTGGGCACATATTTGTTCATGTGTGTGTGTACATATGTGTGGGCACATATTTGTTCGTGTGTGTGTACATATGTATGGGCACATATTTGTGTGTGTGCGTGCGTATGTGTGGGCACATATTTGTTCGTGTGTGTGTGTACATATGTGTGGGCACATATTTGTGCATGTGTTTGTATGTGTGTGTGCACGTGCTTTGGGACTGCTCCTTGACAGTGTCTGCCCCCCTGGGGCTGCTTGCTGTGCCCACTCTTGCATTAAAATGCCCCCCCTCAGCACCTACCATATACCAGGCATTAGGCTGGTCACCACCGGGAACCAGATAGAATGTCCTCCGTCATGGAGCTGACAGTCTAGTGGGACAGACTGACAGTCATCAAAAAGTTGAAGATAATTTAAAATCACAGCAGCAGAAAGAGTGAAGAGAGAGAGGTGTGTAATGGCATGGGAACCTAGAATTGGATGCAGTCCTAGAGGGATTTCCTGAGGAAGTGACATTTGAGCTGAGCTCTAAGGAATGGGTAGGAGAAAGCAAGGAAGGGGAGGGAAGAACATTCTAGAAAGAGGGAACAATATGTGCAAATGTCCTGTGTCAAGAAGGACCAAGGAAAGGTCAATGCAGGTGGAGCACAGAGCTGGATAGTGTGTTGGGGGAGGGGCGGGTGCAGGGGGAGGGTCCTGCTGCCGGGCCAGGGGTGGGGTGGGCCTCAAAACTCTGAGTTCAGTGGCAAGCAGTCCAGGCCCTCGGTGCAGCTTGGGCTCTTACCTGTCACATGAGTACCTGTTCCCAGGCCAGCGTGCCAAGAAAGGGAGATGTTGGAAGCCACCTGAACTCCCAGACACACTTTGCAGGGTCAGTCTTTATTTGGGGCTGCCTTAGAGTATCCAGCTTCCAGCACAGCTGGTTCCAGGAGTGGGTGGTCTCAAGTCTGAGGACCCCTCTCCCTGTGCTGCAAAGGAAGTCTGCTTCCTCCTCCCAGGCCTCAGTTTCCCCTCAGGATGGGCTGCCCTGTACAGACCTTCACAGATGCCCCTGTGGAGTTCTGGTCCAGTGGGGAAGATGAGGCCAGGGTGGTGAGAGGCAGCCAGCATCAGGGTCTGAGCGACTGAGTGCATCTGTGGCCTCAGAGACCCCTGCACACTGGGTGGGTCATGGGAGGGAAGCCCTGGGCCCTGGTAGCCTTGGGGTCCTTTCCTGTCGGGAGCTTTTACCAGCGTCTCTGGCAGTTCCCAGCCAGACAGTTCTCTGGCTGTCACTGTGCCATCATGAGCCTTTACTTTAGTTCTTTCCATCTTGGAGAGGTGACAGAGGCAGCTTGGGACAGTGGCTCACCAGTAGATTCAGAAGTAATCTGAGGCCAGGTGCTGTGGCTCACACCTTTAATCTCAGCACTTTGGAAAGCTGAAGCAGCTTGAGCCCAGGAGTTTGAGACCAGCCTGGGCAACATAGGGAGGCCCCGGATCTTAAAAAAACAAAAACAAAACAAAAATTAGCTGGGCATGCTGGGCATACCTGTAATTCTAGCTACTCCGGAGGCTGAGGAGGATCAATTGAGCCCAGGAGGCTGCAGTAAGCTGTGATCGCGCCACTGCACTCCAGCCTGGGTGATTGAGTGAGACCCTGTCTCAAAAAAGAAAAAAAAAAAAAATGGTATTTTGAGAACTAGTATAGCTTTACCGACGCAGATGGAGGACCCTCCCCTAATCCTGTAGAGACTGCAGGTCTGCGCAGCCATCCTTTGGGTGAGTGCCAGGCCCACGCCTCGCATCCCCGCATCTTCGTGGGGTCGGGGCAGGCAGGGCCAGGCATCGCTGACTGCGCCGTGTCCCGCAGGTTCTCACGCTCTGACGAGCTGTCGCGGCACAGGCGCTCGCACTCGGGCGTGAAGCCGTACCAGTGTCCTGTGTGCGAGAAGAAGTTCGCGCGGAGCGACCACCTCTCCAAGCACATCAAGGTGCACCGCTTCCCGCGGAGCAGCCGCTCCGTGCGCTCTGTGAACTGAAAATGCCCCGCATCCCCGCCTGTTCCCTCACCCCAGATCCCCACCCCAGCCACATTTTTTTTTAAGCAATAATTTATTTGCCTCCTCCAGAGGAACATGACAATGTTACCAGCCCACCTTCTGAAGCCTGGGAGGTGTGAACCCAGGGCCCGCCAACCGCTGCCTTTCTCGGGAGGACTTAGAGCCTCGCACCCGCATCCCTGCGGGCTGGGCCCCGGCACACGGGGCTGGAGGCAGGCCTTCGTGCCTTTGTGCCTTCGTGCCTTCCGGCGGTGGCCAGGCCTCTGCTGCAGCCACCGGTTGCAGGCAGAATTTTGGGGACCTGGCCCTTCTACCACTGGGCTCCCCACCTGGGCCAAGGCCAGAACTTTAGTGCTCGGGGAAGTGAAATGTGCAGTTTTGAAATGTTTGGTTCCCAGAGAGAGTCACCCTGGGGGAGGAGGAAGTAGGCCAGAAGTAGGGCTGTACTGTGGTGTGAGGGTGGCTTTGTCCAAGATGCCTGCTCAGCATGATCACCAGAGGGTGTGGGCAGAGCCCAGGAGGGGCGGGGCAGTACCAGGCGGCTGGGGCCTCATGCAGGAGAGAGGTGAAAAGTGTCCCCCATTGGGGGGCTGGCAGTGCATGTGCTTGAGTTAAATGTGCAGGGCAGACAGAGCCAGAAGCGCCTGTATCCAGGGACACGTCCCTCCTCCAGTTTCCCAGACAAATCCAGACACCAGCCTCTAGGGTGGCCTTGGGAGGAGAGGGCCAGGCTGTCCTGGGTGTGAGAGAACTAGATAGAGCCTCCCAACCCTGATTTAGAAATGCATTCCTTATTTTGTCTAGAAATTAATAAATGAACTAGCTTGTTTTGACAGGTTTATTTCACATCCTATGAATGTATGTAAATAAACTGTACATAGGTCCATCCACATAAAATATCTTTTAATAACATATCAACATTTGTGTAAATTTGAAATTTAAAAAATCTATGAAGCTGGTGTACATATGTTACAATTATGTATATTTTCTTTGGTCCTTCATAAAAATATATTTACTTTGCCAATAAAAAGAAAAAGAACTCACAGCTTGTGGCATTCACATGCTCTTTTCCTCCGCTCTGCCGATGTGTAGGTGATTCTGGGGCCAAGTCTATGTCTCCGCCTTTGCAGAGTTCAGGGGACCCTGTTTTGTATTTGGATGGGTAGAAAGGCCCCTTGGGGTCCAGCCCTGGTCCCACACAGCTCAGCTCCAGGCCAGCCACTGAGATTCTGCACATCCCAGTTTTCTGACCTGGCGTTCTGTAAACCCAAATCCAGCCCACATTCCTGCAGCACCTGTGGGAAGCCACCTCGGGCCTGGCCAGTCCTGCCAGGCTCACCTACTCTGCTATTGAAGACTCTTCCTTGCACTTCTACCCCCATCCAGTCCACCAAACCGATTAACACATGCCCTGTATGCTCGCTGTGCCCTGGCAGAGTATTTACCCCCATAGGAACATGGCTGTGCCATTCCCTACTGGCATGGGCAATTGTGAAACTGTTAGGAACCTGAGCAGGCAGGGTGAGACTCAGAGAGGCCAGTATATGCAGTTACGCCCCATCCTCCGTCCTCCCTAACTCCCCAACATGCCTGGGGTCTTCGCTGTGTGGTTCCACAGTTGAGGTTGGACCCATCCACAGGTCCTGTGCTGGCTGGAGCCTAGGGGCAGTGGGGGTCCCAAACATAATAAGGGGCTATGAGCCCCACAGGGAATGGCCAGAGGTGGAGGCTGACCAGGGCCTGCTTCAGTGGCTCAGCTGGTGTGAAGCACGCAGTGAGAGGGCTGCCCTGGTTCACCCACCCCTGTGTAGTGGGAGGCAAGAACCTTCTAGAAGGATCCCTTGCTTTATAAGAGCTGGATGCAAGTTGGGCCAAGTGTTTTCCAGTGAGACCCGTGGAGATCTAAAGGCTGGGGGCGGGGCACCCATGGGCTCCTCGCAGACAGATGTCTGAATGTGGGTGTGTGTGTGAAGTCTTGCATCTCAGAGGGCAGAGGCCATTGTTCTCGCTAGCAGCCCAGCACACAGCACAGCTGATGGGAGGAAGGACATCCTATCCTGACTAGCCATGGTCCTGAGGAGGAGACTGGGCCTGGTGACCTCTGTCCTTTGCCCCTGACCAGACGTACCCTCTGTGGGCAAACACACTCTAGGGAAGGAAGGCATTGATTTCCAGCCTTGTTAACGTAGGCTTTCTTCATCCATAAACAAGCAGTGCAGCCCTAGATAAGAGGGACGTCAGAGGGACAGGGAGGACTGTTGTCTGGTCAGGATGATGACACGGGAGGTGGAATAACCCTGGGAACATATGCACCTTCTGTGCCAAGAACCAGCCGGGCACGCTGCTCACCTCCCCTGGGCATGTGTCCCAGCAGCCTGCTGTTTTCTTGGGGCTGGGAGTGTGTATGGGGGATGGTCTCAGTGACCCCACCCAGTCTAGGCCCCAGGGTTGCACCTGAATTGTGTGTGTGTGTGTGTGGTGTGTGTGTACACTTACGGTGCACCTCCCCGGGCTGAGTGTGCATCCTGGGGGTCTTGGCTGAGTTGTGGGGAGCACTGCACAGTTCAGGGAGCAGGGCGGCTGGGGCTGCACTGCCTATTGACCCTGGGCTTCAGCTCTTAATGTGTGTCCTAGACCTCTCTGGATTTCAGCTCCTTCACCCTGTAGAGCTGTGTGAAAGGCCCCAGGCAACAGCATGGTGGCACATGGTAAGTAAGTGACTCTGGATGCAGAGCCCCGCTGTGTGGCACTCCCAGGGTTCCCACTGCAGCCCCAATGTCAGCATCTCCTTGGCCCGGGTGGGGGTTGAGAGTCTGTTGCAGAGCCTGGCCTGGGGTCTTGCCTCAGAGACCCCATAGCCACCACCTTTCTGACCCTCTGTGATTTCTGTGGCTGGAAGGGGAGTACCTGTGCTGGCCTGTAAGCTAAGAAAGCAGGTGGAAATGGGCCCCAGGCTCAGCATGGTGAGAAGTAGAGGTGGAAGCTGGAAGGCTGCAGAGCAGGAACTCTAGCCATAATAGCGCCACCCACCCACCTGCCTCCAAGGCACACAGAGGGGAAAGTACAATTTACTGATCACTGTACTAGGTAGAGTATGAGTTAGACTGCTAAAACAGAGGAATTCCCAAACTTTGCAGCTTAAACAAGATAGCAGTTTATTTTTCTCTTTTTAGATGGTCTAAGATGGCGTAGCCTGGGCCGGCACAGCAGACTGAGCACAGGGAACCCAGCTTCCTTTGCTCTTGTTGCTCCTCCAATGCCCACCTTGGAGCCACAGGACTGGGCCAGCTGGGGAAAAGCAGGCAAGGGGCTGTGTTTCCGCCCTGCCCTCCTGGGATTTGCACACTCACTTCCACTCCCAACCTATTGGCCAGAACTCAGTAACTCGGCCTCGTCTGCTGCCAGGGAGGCTGGAAAATGCAGTCATCATCTGGGTGGCATGTGCACAGCTGGAATGTGGGGCACATGTTGCAGGAGAAGGCAAGGCGGTAGGAGCAGAGGGCAACCAGCAGCTTCCAGTGCAAGCATGTGGTTTTGCCCCAGCTGTGCCCACAGTGGGTCTCCCTTCCCACAGGCCAGCAGCATGGCTAAGTCCAGTGGTGCCAGCTGACTTCAGCTTTGCATGGTCTCATCCACATTCTCAGAGAGGGGTGTCACTGACAGGGGGTGTCACAAGTGTGATCAGCAGTCAGACTTATGGGACAGCAGACTATGATGAAGGAAAACTGTAGGAACAGAGGCACCAGGAGGCACCATGCAGGAGCCAAGATGCCTTGGTTAAGAAACCAAGGCTGCAAATGACAGAATCTTGACTCCTGCAGGCAGCAAACCCTTGCAACACCACCACTGTCTGTTCCTGAATAGGGTCTAGAGTCTATGTGGGGCCATGGGAGCGGGGGGATGGAGAGGGGACAGAGGCAGAGAGCCTTAGGACCAGGGCTTCCAAGAAAATGGTTGTTTTTCTTGTGCTACATTGGTTCAGGCTGTCCGAGGCCTGGCAGGGGATCCTGTGGGGAATGAGCGTGTCAACCTGCACAGCGGAGATGTGAGGCAGGGATCTGAACCCACAGGAGGGGGTGAGAGCAGGGGCCATGTCTGAGCAAGTCCAGCTTCATTTGGTGATGAGCAGAGATGAAAATGGGGCCTGTTCAAAAGATGCAGAATGAGGCAAAGGCAGTAGCATTCAAAGGATGCCAGGAAAGTGCACATCTTAATGTGCCCTGCCGGGCTGGGAGGGCACTAGAATTGTCCTGCTATTTTCAATAAAGAAGAAATAGAGAACCCAGGCTGTAGTGGGAGGGCACCAGGACCAGGGAAAAAGAGCTGAAGATGGAAAACTCTGTGGGAGCAGAGGAGCCAGGAGGCCCTGCGCAGGAGCCAAGATGCCTTGGTTGAGAAACCAAAGCTGCAAATAACATAATCTTGACTCCTGTGAACAGCAAATCCTTGCAATGCCACCATTGTCTGTTCCTGAATAGGGTCCAATCTCTCCCTATTGCAAGAAAGAGGCAGAGAGATTGCAAGAAAGCAAAAGATGCAGGGCAGAGTTAAAATCCACAGGGTAGAATGTCAGGAAGGTACATGAGGACGGAAAGCTCCCAGCATTGCTGCAGAAGACAAACGATGACAGCTCAGACACGGGCCTCCCTGGCTCGGCTCGCATTCTGTGAGGTCCTGCTGTGTGTCCCAAAGAGCTAGGCCAGTCAGGAAGGGACACTAAGAACTGAAAAGGAGCCCCTTCTGGAGGTCTGGACCCGGAGATGAGTGACCAGTCCACCCCCATCAGTCCTCCCCCAGCCCCGCTGCTCCATCCACTGTGCTCTCCAAGCAGCCCTGGTGTAGGGACACACCCGCACCCAGCACTGATAGAAATCACAGGTCTGTCCCCAGGCTATTCTCAGAACCCAGCTGGGACATTCCCTGCTGTTTCCATCCTTTGGATTCTGTGAATTTGGCCTCAACCCTGAGCTGAGCCGACACTGAAAGACAGCAAGAGCAGTGTCATAGCAGGCGGCTCCAGCGCGAGAGTGAGGCACAAGGCTACCACGGAGCCAGCTGAGGGAGGCGAGGGAAGGGAGCGTGAAGGAGGTGCCGGGAGCTGGAAATACCTGATGAGAAGAGTGAAAATACTTTTCTGTGGAAAAAGTCCAAATCATTGCGAGTGTGTTTAAAACCTAAATGCAAATGTCAAATATTGATAGAGAAAGAGAAGAAGTTTGTGATGTGAAAGTAATGCCACATTACTAGTCTGGCTGTAAATCCCCCAAGATGTGAACAGACGACGAAGCTGTGTGAAGGATTGAAACATGACTCTCAGGGTCTCCTTCTTCCCACAGAAGTCTTTGTCTTGTGCATGAAATGAAGAAAGGACATCAATGCCTTTTCTGTAGTGTTCATTGGTAAGTTGTTGAACAGCTGCCCCCCAGAGGGCTCTGATTAAACACACGAATGTCACCTTGACAGAGGAATGAAGGATGCCTGTCTGTTTCCACAGCAAAGTGCCAGTACTCTTCTCTCCCTGAATCCCTGGACAAGGCGTGAACACTCACACTGACGTGTTACCGCTGGGAGGACACGTGAACCACTGCCAATCAGAGGACACCCTAGTGCCATGCAGGAGTCCTGGTTCCCACCTTGGGCTGGGTGACGAAGGCCCCTCCCTGCCCTCTCCCAGACTTCCCAAGCTGGTGGCCTTGCTACAAATCTGGGAGCACAGCTGGGATTCCATCCACATCCTGGAAGAGGATGCTCTCCACAAAGCTGCGAAGGTGCAGTGGGTTCGGTCTTCCTGATGCCCAGGTCTCTTTGCCAATCTGTCATGCTGGCAAAATGCTTTCCGGATGGTCATGAGGAGCCACAGCGGCCGAAGCACACTCTGCTGGCATCCTACCTGACCTCTTCCCTGGTGTGAAAAACCCATCGCTCTGGCAGCCGCTGTCTGTGCAGCCTTTCCGGAAGGGTTGTGGGGCCTCCCGCCCCCAGTGGCTGCACTTGGAAAGCCCCTATTTGATGCCTCAATTTAAAGAATATCAGGAAATAATATGA